CCCTCAGTGACATATTAAGTTATACGTAATAACCTATAAAATCAATTTGCATGTTAATTCAAATTCGATCCACGCATGCAATAGCTTAACAAGAACGACATCAATAACTCATCAGTTCATTTTGAACCACTATAACTCATCGAAAGCATCAAGCAACTTACTCAAAATAGGTTTGAGAGCTCATCTGACAACCAATTCAAACCCTGCTCATAGCTAATTCGTCTTCAACGAGTTCAATAACTTGATTGCTCATTAACACATCCTATCGTACACTTTATCGAGTGCATTACTATATAATTTAAGCTACATAATACATCATAACGTTGTAGTTTGTATGTGTCATACAATACAATATTCAATGATATACAACAAAAATGACAATATTAATAAGAGCATGAAATGTAAATATAAACTTCTACGAAAAAAATATTCCGTTCCGACGTCCGTAAGTCCGGTGATCACGCTGCCTGCTAATGACATATATGATGATGTGACTGTCGATGATTGAAAGTGCGGTTTATATAAATATATATATATTTTTTATAAAATTTAATAAAATACTAAAATTTATATCCTCTGACTCCATACACCTTAAAAGGAAAAATAAAGCAAAAAGATAAATCCGAATTCGCTCTGAGGCCTTCTCGCCCGTGACACGGTGACAGCAAACAAAATCCTTCGCTCGCAAATCTCGTCGTCGTCGTCTTCTCCCCGCCATTCGACTTGGGTCAAAGGTGCAAACTGCTCTTTTTCAACCGTTTTCAAGAAGGAAAATAGAAAACCAGAAAGGTTGAGAAAGATAGAGAAGCCTCCGAAGAAGTCAGAAAAGAAGATCTTCGTTCCCATTGCTATTTCCTCTTCCCTTCCTTCCTCCTCCTCCTCTCTCTCTCTCCCTCTCTCTCTCTATCTGCGTTGGGCCGTTGAGGAAGGAGAGGAGAAGGGGGAGAGTGGTTGTTCTCTTCAGGTTTTGGGGAAGAAACAGAAAGTTGGTTACTTTGCGTCGGCATTTTGGGGAAAAAGGACGGAGTTTGGAGAAAAACGAAAATGAATGTGATTCGGAGGTTTAAGAGCTTCACATTCAGCCGCGGCAATGCTGTTTGTATCTGATCCTTTAGTTTCGTTATTATTTGGGCTTTTGTCTGGTTATTTTCCTCTCTCACGTTTTATTTTGGGGAAGGTTGATGGAATTTTTTATCTTAATCATTTTAAATCTGATGAATTGAAATACATTTCATAGATTTCTCTTGCGAAGCATCTCAACTTTTGTTTGCATTTCATGCTCAATCATTAAAAATGTAAACTTTTGTTTTAAATATTCAATCTTTATTGATTTGAAGAATTTGATTGATTGATATCTGATAAAAGCTCAGGATAATGGAATTGTTTGCCTCAATCAACCGCATTTGATGAACTGACATAGATATCATGAATTTCTCATGTCTAATGGGTCTGAAAATTTTTATAGGGTTTCTCTCATTTAAGGAAAGCCTTTTAGTTGGCTTTTTTGATGTAATTAAAGATTTGGGTGCTATATGTATAAATATTAATGTTTTAGGTTATATATGCAAATGAATAAAGATTATGTGATATGTTTGTACCTCCTTCTTTAAAAATCTCTACTTTTGTTTTAAACACTTATTGTTATTGAGTTGGAGAGTTTGACTTATAATTTGAAAATTGCATGGAGTATAGCTGTTGATCTGATTTTGATTGAGTTTATTGTTTGTTTTAATGTTTGTATGAATGTAAGAATAGGATATTAGACTGACTATTAAAACCTTCTGTTTGTATATGTAAGACTTCATTAGTGAGGTGGAATATGAAATATGTAATCCTTAATTTCGTTGATGTTTTAGCTCCTTTTTCTTAACTTTTTTTCACTAAATGAAGTGAGTTGATACTACTTCTAAATATATAAAATTATAAATTTAAAATTTATCTCATGGCTTTTAATTCAAACATGCAATAGGGCGGTGATTCTAACACAAAGAAAGGGAAGGGCGACAAGAAAACGACAAAAAAGTCTTCTGAAGTTGAAGACAAAGCAATGCCCGTGAAACAAAGTGCAATTTCAAAATATTTGAAGTCTACTACAAGCTCATCCAATTCTGGCACTTCGAACGAAAATGCTAAGGTGGATATCGAAAAGCTTCCGAAGAAATTGTATGCTATGAAGATTAGAGATGATGAGCTAAATGATAAGGTAAGTTGTCATTTTCCAAGCTTGTATAGGATTCTTTCTTCCTTTTGTGGTTATTTAAGTATGGGGGCATTTGCATACATACCACATAATTCTTATGTATTTATATATTTAACCTAACTTTAATATTTACATTTTTAAAACTCAAATCTTTAGCATCACATAAAAAATACCGCTTTTCTAACTTTTTAAAAGTCAAATGCACCTTTTTATGCTTTAGGTTTATGGCACCAAGGTGTTATAAATGTAAGTATCAAATTTTAGATGTTAGATATGTGAATTTTCATAAGAATTGTGTGATATGTATGTAAATTTCTGTAAATATATTTATTATCAGTTATTATCACCATTGTGGCATTTTTAAGCTTTTGATTACATTTTTTGCCCATGTAGGAAGTGGAAGGTAGAATCTTGAAAGGGAATGGAATTGAGGCTGGTCAGATAATTGCAGCAACAATTGATGGTCAGGATGGTCAGCCAAAACAGGTGATATTGCAAATAAAAATTTCAAGTTCAACTTTGTTCCAAACTAGTATTCAAGAACTCTTAAGTTTGAGTTATACTGTTCCTGTTCTACTATTTAGAGCTATATCTTTGCTGAATTTTAATTTCTTTCCAGCTAGATTTGACTTTTGTATGGTGACTGAGCAGAATACCCGTGCTTCAATTCGTTAAAAACTGAACTTTTTAACAACAATATAGTAATTAATTTTCACTTGCTTGCCTTTTTTAGCTTTTTTTACAGCATTTTATTGCTTGATTTATTGCTTCATGTTATGTTATGTTGGAGGATTTTTTTGTTTCATGGATTAAAAATATTAACTTTTTCATTATTGTTAAATTTTTCTTTCGGTTTTCAGGCAGTCTCCTACATGGTGGAACGTGTGGTTGGCACCGGTTCGTTCGGTGTTGTCTTTCAAGTATGTTATTGTGGATTATGCGGAGTCATTATACTAAGTTGAAGATATTGGATCAATTTCTTATGCTCTGAGTTAGACAATGATAAAAGTTATTTTTGTGTAGGCCAAGTGTATAGAAACATCTAAAACGGTCGCCATCAAGAAGGTGCTTCAAGATAAGAGATATAAGAATAGGGAGTTACAGATAATGCAAATGGTTGATCATCCTAATGTCGTTCGGCTATATCAACACTTCTTTTCAACAACCGAAAAAGATGAACTATACTTGAATCTTGTTTTAGAATACGTTCCTGAAACTGTTTATCGCATGTCAAGACATTATTTACGGATAAACCAACACATGCCTTTGATCTATATTCGACTTTATTTGTACCAGGTATATGATCTATAAATATGTTATTTGTGTATGATATTATTACAAAATAAGTTTTTTTAGGCTTGCAAATTTTTCATTTTCACCCTTTTTGATATATTTGATGTTGTTTAAGGATAGATGTGTCGTGCACTTGCTTATATTCATGGTGTCGTGGGGGTATGCCATCGTGATATTAAGCCCCAAAATTTGTTGGTGAGAGAAGCTCTTCTTTTTGGTTTCTTAATTTAGTTAGCATGATGTTCAATTTGTCTTTTGATTTTTGAATCTTCAAGTATCAGGGAAATATTTAAATTTGTTTTCTTTCTTTTTAGCTATAATTTTTTTTAGCTATAGGAGTTGTTTGGCTTGATGAAAAATGAGTATGCGTAAAGTAATGTATTGTATTTGAAATAATTTGATGTTCTTTGGTTCAGTATAAAATAAATACAGGCCTTTATATTTTCTTGTTTAGTTTGAATAAAAATGGAACCAATATAAAATACATGGCTGGTGGTGACGGGCTAATGACATATGGCGGCGGCCGGCGGCGACCAGCGGTTGCTACAGGTGCTGACGGTGGTTTGCGGGTGTTGACGATGGCGGCAAGCAATACTTTACACATCGCCGTATTTAGAATTCGCCCAAATACAATGAATTCCAAATATATTGTAATTTTGAAATTTATCTGACTAAACACCCAAAATTTTCAAACTCCTTAATAGAAATGCAGTGCATTCTTTTTCTAGCAAACCGAGCAGGCCATGTATGTCACTTTGCATGGACAACCAGTTAGATTGTTTTAGCTTTGTGATGAGCCCTTGAGTAGAGCAACTTGCAGTAATGCTTAATTTTTACCACTTTAATTAATTATATGATTAATCTTTTTTTCATTGTTAAGAAGTTACTTTACCCTGAGCTTGTTTTCTAAGGTTTATTCCATGCTTGCAAGGCTAAATGCATGATATGCGATTTTAAAGAATGTGAATTTAATAAGTTGTGTTCAATATTGTTGGAATTAAATGAAAATATGACACTAAATAGAACGCAATGGAGAAAAAGGATTCATGTAGCAAACCCCGCGTAGTGGGATTAAGGCTTTGTTGTTGTTCAATATTTTTGGAAGAGCAAGCGAAATGTACATCTGATAGACATAAGTATTTTGGATTTGTTATGCATAACAATCATGATATGAATATTGATTCAACTTGTAGAGCTATAGACTTGAAATAGAGAAAAATCTTGGGAATATTGCGTAATACAAGAGTATCATCGAGGGTTGAAAATAAAGTTTATAAATCTATTGTTAGAATCACTACACCATATAGATGCAATTGTAGAAGAAAAAAGAAGTTGCTAATATTTAATTTGAGTGAAAAATGAGAATCTATGATCGATTCTAGTAATGGAATGAGGTGGTTATACTAGCATTATGGAGGATAAGGTGATGGAAAGTAGACTTTTGTGGTTTGGGAATGTAAAATGCAGGGTAGAAAATGATAAAATAGAAAGCAAATAGAATTTACATGGAATGATTATGAATTAGAAGAGGTGGATTGAGTTAAGTTGGCTAGATTCATAAAGCAATGCTCAACAAAACTTGTGGGATTGAGAATGTTATATTTTTGGAGGAAAGATTTACAAATGTTATATTTCTTCTTAGCTAAATGTCAATGTGCCTAAACAACCACATTTGATGGTTATAAATAAGCAATGAACCAATGACTATGCAATTTCTAATAAAATTCATCATTCCCCATTCTACTTAACTGTATTTTTCATGTTTCTCCTGGCTACATATTCTTTTGTTAGTTGGATATATGGTATGTTTAGAGAATTCATCTGCCTTAAATTTACAAAATCTATTTTTTAATTCAGACATTGTGAATATTTTACTTGAAAAATGTTAGCTGACATTCTCTTTGACTTTGCAGGTCAATCCTCACACTCATCAGCTAAAGCTTTGTGATTTTGGTAGTGCCAAAAAATTGGTCTGTAATATGCACTATTTTTTATGCTCCATTTTTATTTACTTTATTTAATATCTCGGTTTAATTGCAGGTTCAAGGTGAGCCTAATATTTCGTACATTTGCTCACGTTACTATCGTGCTCCTGAGCTCATATTTGGAGCAACAGAATATAGCACTGCGATCGACATGTGGTCTGCCGGCTGTGTGTTGGCCGAGCTTCTCTCAGGACAGGTTTGTAATAATGATATTGTAGCTTAGTCAAGAAATACACAATAGTCCTCTTCTTTAATTATTTAATAAGCATATCTTATGCAGCCTTTGTTTCCTGGGGACAGTGGTGTTGATCAGCTGGTGGAGATTATTAAGGTCTGCTATCTACAAGAAAATAATTCATATGTATCTACATTTCTAACCTAAACTTTGATTTTATATATTTGTAACACTCAAATCCTTCATATCACATGGAAAATTTCGCTATTACTGACTTTTAAAATGTGAAATACGCCTTTTCATGCAAAAATGAAGTGCTAAAAATGTAAAAAATCTAAGTTCAGGCATTATATACGTAAATAGAGAAACATGTAATTGGTCCCTTAACGACTCCTTGCAGGAAGCCATTTCTGTCGCAAAAGTTTATAAAGGTGTCAAACTAGTCCCAAACTTCTTCAATATGGGCAAAATTCAAAATAGTATCCAGTGTCAATTTAGTCCCCAGACTGTTTTAATAGGGGCTAAAATAGTCCTCTCTGGGGACGACTTTAGCCCATATCAAAATAATCAGGGGACTAATTTGACACTTTTATAGACTCAGAGACTAAAATAACCCCATGTATATAGTCAGGGGACTATTTTAGCACCTTTCTCTACGTAAATAATGTGAATTGTGTGACATGTATGGATATATTCCAATTTTATATACTATTTGTCTTCATATCGCACCCTTTTGTTGGCCATGGTGAACTGATTTGTACTGCTGAAAAAAAGGTTTTAGGAACACCAACAAGGGAAGAAATTAAATGCATGAATCCAAACTACACAGAGTTCAAATTTCCTCAAATTAAAGCTCATCCATGGAACAAGGTAAGCCAAGGCAGTAAAATTTTTATAGTAAGTTCATGTTAGGGGTTTACTAAGCAAACTTCAGCATTCAGGTCTTCAGTAAAAGAATACCTCCTGAGGCTGTGGATTTCATCTCGAAGCTGCTCCAATACTCGCCGAAGTCGAGATTAATGGCCGTAAGTATTTTGCTCATGGTGTTTAGGCTTTTGCTAATTTTATCATCTCTAAAAAATTTCTATAATGTGTGATTTTTGCAATTAACATCTAGACAAAATTATAACTTTCGCTAAATTATGATGATATTGGCTTATGTTATACTTCCAAGCACACGTATGAACTATAACTAGAAATGAGATAGATAAATCCGAGTGTTAAGTGATCAAAAAGTCAAGTTAGGATGGATTTGTCGCAGAATTAGGAGGAATTAATTAAGAAATGATTGTATTAGAGAGGCCGTGACAGGAACTCATCGGTTAAAGATAGGCTAATGCAGATTAAACTTTGATGGTTCAAGCATGTATGGTTGTAGGCTAATGCAGATTAAACTTTGATGGTTCAAGCATATATGGTTGGAGATAGGATAACAGAATAGGTAGAAAACTATGTTAAATGCGTCGACATTAAAATGGTTGATCTAACATAAAGTAGGTATATTTTTTGCATATATTTGTGCACAAAATAGACTTTATAACAAACCATCAAAGTTAAAATTTCTAAATTAAAAAAAAAAAATCTCTCTTTCACCATTTAACGGATTTTCGTAGAATTATCGGCATAACGATTTGCTTATGTTCTCCCATTCCTTATTATCTTCAATTTAAACTATCTTACTCTTATATAATCAATACTAATTACTAAACAATAACTTTGTTGATAATCTCAAGTTCAATTACCTCCCTAATTGTGTATTATATTAATAACAGATTGGCATTACTTCCAATATAAATTATGACATACCTCTTCTTAATCAAACATTAGCATAATTCATGTTCTAACTTGTTTTATCTACCAATACTTGTTGAATTTCAAGGCACCTTGTGCAAATGGGGTTTAAAAGAGTCGAGTCGACCTCGATCTATCCTCGACTTAAGCTTGAGCTTGATTAATTTTATTGAGTTCAAACTCGAGTTTAAGACTAAGAGGAGACGTCTTATTTATTATAAAAGAGAGAAAAAAATATTAATTTAAGGTAATGTTAATTAAAATAACAAATAGAATGAGCAATTGCAAGAGAAATAATAAGAAATCACTTAATATAAAATGTAAAATATTATTTTTTGAACATTTTTAATATAAAGTCTTTAAATTTAATATATTTTGAATGTAGTTTATATTAATATTTTTTAAACAAGCCGTCTCACGAGTTAACGAGTCAAGTCGGGACTAGCTTGAGCTTGGTTTAATCGCTATTCGAGCTCAGTTCACCGGCCACTTATTGAGCTGGTTCACGTGTCGTCTTGACTCACTTAGACCCCTACGGGCCACATTTAGGGACTAATTTGTAAAAAATGTGACATTCTTGGATTGAATTTGTCAATTACAAATAGTCTGGGGACTATTTTGAAGTTTAATAGTGTCTTAACTTTATGCTGATTCACTACGAACAGAATTGAGAAGTAATAAATGGATAAGAAGAAAAGTATTTCCAAATGGTAAAGTTTAGCCTTTTATGTTATCATATACAAAAATTTACATACATACCGCGTAATTTCCATGTATTTACATATTTAAGACCTTGTCCATGCATGAAAAAGTAGAAAATGTGTATTGCAGTTTTTATAAAGCGGTGGTGCTTTTGATGTGATATGAAACATTTGGGCAGTATGCATATGAAAAAATATTACATCAGGACTCCGCATGTAGAGCTACGTCCAGAGTCCAATGAAATCACGCAATGTGGAGGTGACTAAAAAAAAAATCGGCCCGGTAACACAGGAATATTCCCTCCCGTGTTATTCCGTATTATTCAAGTGTTATTGTATGTTATTCATGTGTTATTGTGTTCTGAGAATATTTCTGGTGTTATAATAACACAATAACACATCAATAACACTAGAATAACACATAAAAACACCTGAATAACACGGGAAGAATATTCTCTTGTGTTACCGAACATTATTTTTTCTGTCACCGCCACGTGGCGTGATTTCATTGGACTCCGCACGTAACTCTACATGCGGAGTCCTGATGCAATATTTTCTCGTATACATACATGTTAAAAAGAAAAACTTAGGGGTTCAATATGTAAATACATAAGAACTTGGTGGCATGTATGTAAATGCTCTAATCACGGCTTATATAATATTTAAACAGAAATTTATTTTCTTAATGCATTTTTAACTTTGTTCTTTGAAACCCTGCAGTTAGAGGCCTGTGCTCATCCCTTCTTTGATGAATTGAGAGACCCAAACTCGTCCCTCCCCGACGGCCGGCCGCTGCCGCCTCTGTTCAACTTTACCGACCAAGGTAAACATTTTCTCGCTTTTTAACATGAATTAAACCTATGTTGCACGAATACAGACATAGGAACACAAACATCACAACATCGATATATATATATATATATATTAAATTCATTAATTTAAGACACTTGCCATGCACATGTTTTGTGCGTGTTCTCATCCTGCATGTGTCATATATTTTTAATATTATTTAAATTGGACACTTCTATGTCTTCATCGACACGTGTTGGAGCCTTGTCGGTGTCCGATACTCATCTGACACTGCACGACTTCATCGCGAAAAATTATCCCATACGGACACCGCATGCGGTGTCTAATCTGCACCACTTATCATAGTAAAAATTATATTTTAGTGGGACCCATTTTTATTTTCTCTTTTTTTTTTTAAATGGATGGAGTGTGATGAGCGGTGCATGTCCGACACCGCATGCATTTCGTATGGAATAATTTTTTCATCATCAATTCAAACTCTCTCTCTCTATCTTTTATTTGGAAATGGATGCACTTAAATTTGACAAAAATAAAAAA